TTGTCTGCATGCTGCATTCTGAGCTTCAAGCTGAAAAGGCTGGGACTCCTGTGGACATATTGTACTCCTAGTTGCAGCAGAACTGTAAGACTGCAGGTGTAACAACAGAGGATGTTTAAACCTCTGCTGGCCAATCAGCCAAAGAAAGTCACAGAGCCAAGTCTGAAACCAAGGGGTGAAGAGGTATCTTTAGTTCATGACAAATCTACGGCAAGGATGTGGATGAATCCTACTGCAAAGAATTAAGACATGGGACCAACCATTCAATCTACCACAAACCTAACTTCTCTCTATACTTTTCTCAGATGATGCTTGGGTCTTGGTCTGAAGATACCTTGAATCCATTCACTCCACTCCTGAGTTACAGACTATGATTCTCATACATTTTAAATCTGATATTTTTTTCACCCCAGAAGGTGTTATTATTTTGTGCTATACAGTCAACTTTCATTTAGATTTACCAACATATTTTTCTTGAATTTTAATTTTCCGCTATCTCTGATTCACCATTTGAGATCATTTCTTTTTTCCGGAAGACAATCTAGTACTGTTTTTGGTTGGGGTCTACTGGTAATAAATTTCCCTAGATCTCATTTGTCTGCAAATATAATTTCCCTTACATTCCTAAGGGATTTCCCCCCGCAAATATAAAACTAGGTTAGCAGGCTTTGTTTTTTTTTTTTTTAACTTCACACTTTGAAAGTATGATTCTTCTGTATTCTGGTTTCTACTGTTTAAGAAGTCAGTTCTCAGCTTAATTACTGCTCCTTAGAAAGTCTATTCACCCTGGCTGGTTTTAAGGTTTTTTTGCTTTTTAAGTTTTCAGCCATTTTTAGTCTGACATGCCTAAGTGTGGTTTGCTTTTTACGAATACTGATTTAAGTCTGTAATGCTTCTGGAACTTGAAGCTTGATCTATTGCATCAATTTTCAAAAAACTCTAAGCCATTATTTCTCCAGACATTGCTTCTGCCTCATCCTCTCCACTTCAAGGATTTCAGTTACATGTATGTTAGCCTTGGTACTGTATCCTCTATATTTGTCTATATTCTGTATTTTCTACCCCATTCTGTCTGTGCTTTAATTTGGAAATATTCCTCTGACCTAACTCTAGCTTTATTGGTTTCCTCTTTTCAGCTACGTATAACTTGCTAACAAACACTATCCATCGAATTTTTTACTTGTTATATTTTTCAGTTACAGGATTTCCACTTGGTTCTTTATAGTTCCTAGGTCTGATAAAATTCTCAATCTTGTCTTTAATTCTCTTAACCATATTAAGCATAGCCCTTGAAAAGTCTTTGGGGAAACAGCATTACCTCAATTCTCTATAGATGTGGTTTTTTTTTTTCTGTTATTTCTCTTGTTTTGCAGTCTTTTACCTTCTCTCCTTGGATGCCTATTTTTGATTGAGCGTAACAACTGCATACGAACAATGGTAGAAACGATGTGAGGCCCATCATGAGGTTATCTCTCTCCCTAGAGAATTTATGTTTGCTGCTGGCAAGGACTGAAATGATTTGAATGGTATCCCAAACAATTTGTGGTCCCCAAACAATACATTAGGGTACCTCCTTGGTGGTTCCCAGACTTAAACTTTGTCTACCTAGGGCATGAGTATGATAAAAATAATGTCAGAGTCCTACCTTCTCAGCCCTTTCTCTGGACTTGGCCTCTCAGGAAAAAGCATCTTGAATGCCAGGCCAACCTCTCATTTCCTTTTTCTCTTGGATATTGACTTCATCATTATTCATTCCCTTGTTAGTTCTCTGATGCTTTCTGGAAACAGAAGTCCTCCATGGGCTTTTTAATTTCACTTATCTGAAAGCCACATGGGAATTTTAATTTGGATGTAACAGGTTTTCTGTGGCAGTTATTAAGTTTTGTCTTTCAGCTCTATCTTCCCTTCTCCTTATATAAACTGCCTTGTGGTGCAAGGGCTGACTCTGGAAACAAATATTTCTGTGCTGGCAGATTCTCCATTAGACTCTGTCCCGAAGGACAAGGGAGAGTGACTACAGAATCTGTTCCTGTGAGCACTACCTCAGCTCAGCAGATTCTTCCCACAGAAGAGCACCTCCTTCTCAGAACTCTGGCTGCCAGCTCCACTGACCCTCCCTAGCAGTGTACATACAAGTCCTACGTAGACCCCTCCCCTAAGCTTAGAGACCCTGGCCCTAGCTGGGCAATCAATCCCTCTCCCCAGAGGCCTTCCTCGAAGCTGGAATATTTTCAGGTCCTATTTATCCATGAGCTCTATGTATGGTAGCTAATTCCTGCACTTATACCTCCACGATAACTTGGGTTCTTGTTTTACCCTTCCAGCTATTTGGTTAGTAATGTAATTTCATGTTAACTATTTTTTTAAAGATTTTATTTATTTATTTAACAGACAGAGATCACAAGCAGGCAGAGAGGCAGGCAGAGAGAGAGGAGGAAGCAGGCTCCCCGCCTAGCAGAGAGCTCGATGCGGGCTTGATCCCAGGACCCTGGGATCATGACCCGAGCTGAAGGCAGAGGCTTTAACCCACTGAGCCACTCAGGCGCCCCTTAACTATTTTTTTTAATTAAATTCCCTCTGTTCAAATAACTAGTGCGATGTCTGTCTCCTGACTTGTTCCTCACTGATAGTTCCCACCCCTGTCCTCCTTCTATTCTCATTTTATTTACCTCACGGCATGATTAGATCATTTTGGGCCCACTTACAATGTTGTGCCAAGGCTTTACTGTATGTACTCTATTACATTTTGCATTTCTAGAATTTCCATTTGGTTCTTTTTCAAAAACCTGTTAGGGTCATTCTTTAGAGTTTCAGGTTTCCTGCATGTATTTTCTCACATGTATTTTTAAGCTGTTGCTTAACTCTCTTAAATATAGGAATTTAGAAGTTGTTTGTAATAATCTCATTTTCTCAACCTTTGTGAGTCTGTATTTGCTTCTTGGTCTTCCTGGTTGCTTCTTGTGGTGGCTTGTTTCCCTGAGTGGTCATGTGGCTGGCTGGCTATCTATCTATCTGTCTCTATCTATCTATCTATCTATCTATCTATCTATTTTTACCATGAGTTGCTAATTTCCCTTGGAATTTTATTTGTAGGATGGTCTGCAAGAACAACTGCAGAATAGATACCCTAGGCAGAACAGAAAATGCATAAATATCACCAAATTGCCCTCCTCATACCCTTATGCCACAGCATTATCCAAGTTTTTGACTTGCTAATAGGTACACAATGCACATACAAAAAGTATATAGAATATATAAATTTGTAAATATATGTATGCAGGTCACTGACCAGTGGTGACAATACTAGAATCCTTCTCAAATCAGAATGTTCAGTTCCTTTACAAGTACAGACACACAGCGAGGTCTGGACTTACTAAGAATCCTATCATTTTGCTTAACCACAATTTTCTTGAAATTCTTCTAGGATGTACATTTTTAGTTTTGACCCCTCAAAAGCCCCCCCCCTTTGTGTGGGGGGAATGGTAATTTAGGGAGTGATACGGATTAATATGAAAGGATTTACATGTTTGGTGTGAAGGGTACTTGGGAGTCACAGGCATAACTGCCAAAATGGAGAGATTTGGGTGGTACTACCCATAGCAAAAGCCAGATCTATTGTTAGATGGTGAGGCTACCCAGATGTTGAAAGGGCAGTCTGCGAAAGGTTCTTGGCTAATACTGAAAAAGTGATTTCATTTGAAAAGTGAGCAGCCTTTCTTCTTTAACATATTTTTGGATGATACTAGATTGTGAAGCTACTGTGCAAATAATTGCACAATCACTGTGTTATTCACGGTGGACTATTAATTTCTTAAAATTACCAGTGAGCAAAGGGAAGCATACAGAGTATCGATTACACTGTGGGAACGCTTACACAGAATGCCAAAGGCTTTCCCTTCCCTGACAAACCTCTTTTATGCAGCTGAGCCATCTGCATGCAAAACACATCTTCAAATGGTGCCTCAGAAAACAACTGACCGCTGGGCAAAGCAGGTGTGGGCTCTCGTTCCGGAACTGCTCCCACTATTGTGCGACCACAGCCAATCCAGGTGACCCTCCGTGGCCCCTCGTTAGTCATCTGCTGCTAGATGTGATCTTTGCAGGCTCTCCGGCCTGATGTTCTGATATAGCACACTCTATATAAATTGCATGAGCCAGGAAAGATGTTCCCTACAAGAACGAGGGCTGAGCCTTGTGCAGACACTTATCAGCACACATACTTCCCACACTCCTTTCACGGTGTTTAGGCACATCTGTGCCTGACTGAAAAAGAGCGTCCCTTTTGTTTGTCCCTCAAACTGCCCAGAGTTTGAGGTAGAACTTCCCCCACTGCCCGCTACCCCCAACACATGGAAGCCTCTAGACAAGGGCAGTCCGGGAACTTGATTTACCTCTTCTGAAAACCCTATTCCCCAGGAAACTTGCTGAGGACAGCCCACGCCTAGTCCCCGTCCGCGCACACTTGTCCTGGGCACAGCGGCCAGAGACTCGGTCCATCTTCCCGCGTACACCGGTCCCGAGTATCCGCGGGGAGCAGCCCCCGACGCGTTCCACTTTTCCACGTACACCTGCCCCATGCACTGGCTGGGGATCTGGCCCGGAACCCCCTGCCCCCTTCCCTTGCACACCTGCCTGGAGCACAGGCTGGGGTTTAGCCCGGTATCCCGCCACCTTCCCGCGCACGCCTGCCCGGGGTATGTCCCCCGGACAGCGCAGACTGGTTCTCGCTCCCGGGTGCCGGAAGTGCGGCTACGCGCGGGACTACTTTTCGCGGACCCTCAAGCGGAGGGGCGGAGGGGCGGAGGGATCCCGCGCAGGATTGGTGCAGCGAGCGAGAACGCGTGCGGGACGCGGACTGGAGCAGTGCGCCTGCGCGGCCGCCGCCGCCGCCGCCGCCGCCGCCGCCGCTGCTGCCGCCGCCCGTCTGCCCGCGTGAGGGGAGCTGCCGCCACGGCCACCACCGCCTCCGTCTCCGCTGCCGCCTCGGCCCCGCGCCCACCATGGCGCAGATCCTCCCCATCCGTTTCCAGGAGCACTTCCAGGTGAGATCAGGGCTCCGTCGCCGAGACCCGGCCGGCTACAGGGCGGGTCGCGCGCTCCGTCCTGTCAGCCGCGCCCCCCGCCGCCCCGCCTCCCGGGGGACCGGGCGGGAGCCGCTGACTGGCCGGCCGGCCAGACCTCCGGCCCCTGGCCCTGGACCCCGACTCCAGTGGACGCGGCGGGGCGCACATACCCGGGCCGGTCGGGGTGAGCGGGCTGGTGTCTGGGCGCGCCGGCCGGTGTAGTGGGAGGGCGCGGTGGCCCGCACGTGCCGCCCCGCCAGGTGTGCTGGTCGCTGAAACCCGTTATCCGCTAGCGACGGTAAACCTTCTCGGACGGCTCAGATCTCGGTGGCATGCTAAGAGCGCCGGGTGAGGGAAACTGAAGATGTCCCGAAATGTCTTTCAGTGCTTTTGGGAGCTGGAACCAGACTGACAGCGGTGCGCTCAGATTCCACTCGCAAGCTTTACAACTCTGAAATCTGAATCTGAGCCTCATTTCCCTTTTGCGTCTCTAGATTCTTACATCTGAGTTTGTGTCTGTTGGCTACCGAAGCCACTGGAGTGGTTTCGTGGGAGGAAGGATCGTTAAATCCTTGACCAAAGAGCGAGAGGGATCATGGTGTGTTTTAATAAGACCCTTTCAATGCAGTAACACCCACCCCCAAAGTTTAGCTTTTTAATGAGGTCCCTGTTTGTTCTTTCTCCCAACTCTCCTAATAGAGTTGTGCTTCAGGGAAATAAAGATTGGCTGTTTGTGTTTGACTGGGGGTTGTGTCCTGTCACGATGTACAGTGAGTGCTTCACTCACATCACACGCATGTGTCACATCTGTGAAGGGTGATAACGATTCTCATTTTACAAGTGAGGAGGTGGGGTAGGTATATAGTTGCCATTGGCTCTGTGCTTTATGTTAAATCGTCACAGTTCTGGGGCGCCTGGGTGCCTAAGTCCGTTAAGCCTCTGACTCTTGATCTCAGCTCAGGTCTGGATCTCACAGTTTTGAGTTGGAGCTCCCCGGTGGTCACCATGCTGGGCATGGAGCCTCCTTTAAAAAAAAAATCATCACAATCCCATAAGATCCATATGATTTTCCCTGTTTTCTGGGTGATGAAACCGGGGCACAGAGACATTAAATAAGTTGTTCAGCAAGTAAGAGCAGGAATCAGACTCAGGTCATTGTGACTATACTGTGGGATTGCAAGGAATGTTGTGGATTGGAATATCTTTTTTTTTCCCCACAGCACAGAGCACTTCTAACTCTGTATCCAGATGGGAGAGGCCCTGGGAGTATAGTGACGGGTCAGATCCTCTTATTATGCAGATTGGAAACTCGATCCCTGGAGTATTCCTCTGTGGTCACTTAGTGATAGAGCTGTGGTTGGTGGAGGTAGCAGTCTCCTGAACACCCATCTCTTGACAGTAATGTGAAATAGGAAAATACTACTGCTGCTGCTAACTAGAACAATACAATAATGTGAGCCATTTTATTGAGCCCTTTTTCTTGCTAATCACTATACAATGTATTTTATAAATCTAATTTAGTCTTTATCGTAACTGAGGCACAGAGTTACAGATAACTAAGGCACAGAGAGAGTGAGCAATAAAGGTAAAATTACACAACTAGTAAGTGACAGCTTGGGTTCTAACTCTGATCACTAACTCCAAAGCCTGTGCTTTAGCCACTAAATATGTTCTCTTCAGAAGGCAAGGAAACAGTAAGACATTTTAAAAAATTCCTATGGAAGTTCATAATGTCTTGAAAAACTATATTCTATTACCTGGAAAATACTTATGACTTATTAACATATAGGCCATGTAGATGTGGTTTGTGGTCTCCAACATTAACCAGCTGTTGAGATTTCTCCGTACTCGTTTTTCTAGTCTGTACACTCTCCCTTAGCTACAGACATTTCAAAATATCCGCTTGTTTCTTAAATCCCTAATCCTGCCACTCCTCGTTGTTGGCAACAGATGATTGGAGAAACAGAAGCCATAAACTGGGATATTCCTCACCTTCATGCCTGCAGCCTTACAAACTTGTCTGCAGTTGCCCTTTTCTGCCTTCCTGTTATCTCAAAAGTAGGTTTTTGGTTTTTTTTTTCCCTTGTTTGTGTTCCGGATCCCACCTCCTTCCCTCTTTTAACAAGGCCTTCTCTTTCCTGTGTTTTCATCCATTCCCTCTTGGTGTCTTCTTCCATGTTTGTGTTTAACCATGCTCATATCTTTTCTGTCTTTACACAAACTTCTCCCTCTCCCTGTCCCCTTGAAGCTCTTATTTTACAGCTAGACATCATGAAAGAATTACCTTATCCCTCCATCACTTCTCTTATATTCTTTAATAACCTGCAGTCTGGTTTTTGCCCCCACCGTTCCTGTGCATCTATTCTTGCCAAGGTCACAAGTTGTCAAGTTGTCATACAGACTTTTTTGTAAAGACCAGTTAGTATATAGGTTAGGCCTTTGAGAGCCATGTATTGTCTCTTGAAACATAGTCTCCCACTCCCTCTTTTTTAAATTTTGTAAAAAGTATAAAACTCACTTTTAGTTGGGCTATACAGAGTCTGTAATTTGCTGGCCCCTGCTCCAAAAAAAAAAAAAAAAAAAAAAAGAAAGAAAGAAAGAAAAAGAATTCAAACTCCAAAACATCTTCTATAGTTGACACCGTACTTTACTGCCTCTTCATGACCCTTTCTCTGTTGCTTTTGGTCATACCACAGTTTCCCAGGGTTTCTCCTATCTCTCTGCTCACATCCCAGTTTCCTTTGTGGGCTCCTCTTGGGAATAAGCCTGGGGTCTGTCTTGAGCTCTTCTGTCTTTTCATTTTGTATGCTCTACTGGGTGATTTGTACGTATTCCCATGTGCTCAGTGTTCCCAGGCAGGCTGCATATTTTTGCTGAGCCTCATAGATATATGTAGGAGAGACAATAGTAGTCCCTGGTTAAGAGCACAGACTGAGTACAAATGGAAGGGTTTGACTCTGGGCTCGGGCACTTACTGGCCAAGTGAATTTGGGCAATTTTTGTAACGTTTTTGTGTGTCCATCTCTACATGTATAATACAGAGATAAAGGGTATAGTTTTTACTTCATAGAGCTATTGTGACGTTTTGAGTTAATAAATATGATAAATGTAAGATGTGGGACAGTGTCTAGTACATAACAAAATGCTCTATTCTTGTCAGTTGTTACTGCCACTAGGACAGCTGGCCCCTGCAGAAGGCCATTGGATGATCCATACGTTCTTCAAACAACACATCATGTTCCAAAATAGGGTTCTTCTTTCTTTCCAAATGTGTATCTTCTCCAGTTTCCAGCCAGGAACCTAGGAGACAGCCATGACTTCTCCCTAACCTGTTGGTTCTTTCTCCTATGTATTTTGGGCATTGTTCTGCTACTCTTAGCTTGGACATGACCCTGGACTATGACCCTGGACTATGACGACATTGCTCACCTAAATGGCTGCACTAACTTTGTCTCTGGTCATCTACCTCTAGTCTTGCCTTCCCTTCTCTAGCACATAGGCAAAGAGATTTTCTCAAAGGCTTAAAGTTCATCAGTGAATGCTTCCCTTTTGCTTCTAGGATGAAAATGCCAGACTCCCCAATGCCTTATAAAGCCCTGTCTAATCCAGCACCTGCTCAGCTTTCTTGCTTATCACCGTCTGGTCCTTTAGGACCTTCTCTGGAGCCCAACACTCTTACCTGTGGGCTTATTGCCTCTTTCCAGAACACTCTCCCCCCCCTTTTTTAAAATTTCATTTACTTTTATTTATTTGAGAGCAAGAATGAGAGGAAGAGTGCACAGAAGCAGGGGGTAGGGGCAAAGGGAGAAGCAGACTTCCCTCAGAGCAGGGAGCCCGATGTGGGACTTGATTCCAGAACCCTGGGCTCATGACCTGAGCTGAAGGCAGATGCTTAACTGACTGAGCCACCCAGGCGCCCTCTTCTTCTCACTCTTATTACCCAGCCAAGGCCTACTTAGCCTTCTGCTTAAGTGACAGGAAGCTATCCCTGACATGTCAGAATTAGGAGCCCTTCCTGTGTGCCCCCATAGTTTTAGGGCTTCTCTCATGATGGCCCTAACCATATGGTGTATAGGTGGTCACTTCCCCTACTGGACTGCAATCTCAGGATCTCCTATCTGCAGTTGTATTACCACTACCTAGTACATAACAGGCCCTGATATCTTTGAAGGAATGAAACCAGTTCCATATTGAAATGTTTGTATAATCAATGACTGACTAGTTGTAATGTAGATTGTCTAATAACAGTTTATAGGCTTTTCTAGGCCCTCCATATAGCTCACCTGTGACCAGTTTACTGTAAGTCTACTTTATTAAGAATACTCCTACTTATCTCACATTTTGTTTCTGCCACACAACCCCCGCCTGCTTTGTCTACCATATCACTTTATATTTTGTGAATCTAGTTATCTTTTTCCTGTTTTTAATTTTGGTTGGTTTCATATGAAAAATCTTGGGCCAGATTTTCCCCAGAGGTTAAAACAATCGTTTTATAATGGTCAGTGGGAAAATAGAAATCAGCATATGGGGATTGGCACCTGGGTGGTTCAGTTGGTTGGGCCTCCAACTCTTGATTTTGGGTGGGGTCATGATCTGGGGTCATGGGATTGAGCCCCATGGTTGGGGGGAGGAATTCGTGCACAGCAGGAGGTTCTGCTTGGGATCCTCCTTCTCCCCCTTCCTCTGCCCCTCCCCGAGATAAATAAATCTTTAAAAAAAAAAAAAACAAATTAGTGTATAGGAACTTTTATTCTACAATCAACTTTTCAGGAATGTACCCAGAGCAGAAGCTGTGCTCCTATATCTAATGCATTATAATAAAGCATTCTTCCACTTTAGCTTGAGATTGTATCAATTTATTTAATTTTACTTATCCTGCCACCCTCCTGTTGAGTGGAGGACTAGTTCTGCAGAAATATTTTTCTTCTGTGTACTGTTTGAACTTTATTATATTCAGATATATAAGTTTGAAGGTTGTTGCTTTTTAAGCTGAGAATGGAAAAAAGCTAAAGGGCTAAGAACCAGTGACACCTTGATTCAGAAGAGGAATAGTTTGTAAGAGTTTTGAAATGTGACACAGCTCAGAACACAGAGAACATACAAATGCATTCCCTCAAGGTTTTGATATGTAGCATATCTCTGAGGTGATGTTTTTAACAGATACAGAGTCTGCAAAGAGGATCTGTGTAAATTATAGGAGTGAGGGGGTCAGTAGT